TCTACTGCGAGCTGCAAGGACGGCTATTTCGAACTTCCAGATGGGAGCATCGTTCAGATCGATGAAGATTGTTGCCTGGATGCTCCTGACGTGTATACCGATCCTTGATATGTTCTGGTAGCGCCTGATGAAATACCTCAGGCTATTCTCTTCTGGGAATATTGTCACAAAGGAGAACAATGATGTCGTGACCAACACGGTCGATGGTACGATAACTGATATCTGCCGATCTGCGCTCGAAATAGTGGACTCGGAAATAAGGCAAGGCCTGTGTGGGGTCCCATGTCCTGTATTCCAATTGATATGTTCCAGAACTGACATGCTCGGCAACATTTACGTCTCTGGTGGTTCTTCCATGATACCAGGGATAGCTTCTCGGTTGGAGGATGAGCTGAATAGCGGTGGAATATCAGGCTCAGCAGGGCCGGTGAAAGTGAACGCGGATCCTCAGAGAAAGTGATGAAGTATAGCGAGCCATTCATTGATCGGCTTAGTGCTAGCTAGAGCACTGCGCCGCGTTGGTTGGACGTTTGTAGTTGCTCCGTCGAACGTGTTGTTGACTGCGACGGACTGGACATTTCGGTCCATGTTAGGAATCTCGGCTATACTCTACGTCTGTTACACGAGGATGTATCACAAAAAGCTTCTCTTAGTTGTCTACTCCATATGTGCTCTATAGTCCTTGGATTTGTCTATTTCAAATTTGCACGTATTCTTTTGCGAAAATATCATCACGAGAATCGACCAGGAGGAGTCTGTTTATTTGTATCGGATAATCCTTGTATTCGTACGGTTGGCGGGAGCTCTGGCATGTGAGATAGGTACGCAGCGTGGGTCGGTGGATCCATGATTGCATCAATGAGTACGTTTGTGGAGTACATGTGTGTCACACGGAAAGAGTATGAGGAAGATAAGAATAACCTCCGTGGAACTCTAGCGCGGAAGACATTCTGAAGAAATCATCATGAGCATACACTCACCGTGTTTAAAAGGTTAATCTGTTGTGTTTCAGTAGGTAGACAGGTAGCTGTCTTACTTTCATTCAGGCATGCTAATCGAAACAGTACTAGCTTCGGAGCCCAACGTCCACGGGG